GGGGGGAGAGGAAAGAGACTACATTGCTCACCGATAAGATGATGTGGAACTTCGCGATCGACTTCTTGAGTGACTGTAGGAGACAGACCGTGTTCTGTGTCTTGATTTGGTTTCAGATTTACTACGAGATCTGCTTGGACTCCGGGACTGGCTATCCCCATCCCGACTAGGGGTCTGCTCATCACTTGAACTCTCCTGATTCCTTGGCCTCCGGTTTAAGCGTGCCGTCTTTCTTACTTCATCAAAGAGAGACCCAGGCCGAACTTTATTTTTGCTTTTAATTTCTATCCTCAAGCCTTGTGGCTTCATCTCAGGAGCAGCAGTCAGTGCCTTCACCTCCGTGGCGCTGGCCGTGGGGGCCGTCGGGGCCGCCAGGTTCCCCACCCCTTGCAGGGGCTTCCATTTGTTATCCAGGAGGCCCATCTGGCTCTTCTCAGCCGCCTCTCTCTTCACGGCGCTTTCTGTGGCGCTGGCCAGGCTAGCAGGGCTGCTGTCCCGCTTCCCCACGTCCCCCATCGTTTTGCTTTCCTGTTTTCCCTCCTCTGTCTCAGGATGCTCTGCGTGCATATCCTGTTGTAGAACAACGTTTACGTCTGGGGTGGCAAGCCTTGAATTTCCTAGAGGGGATGCCTCCTTGGCTGGGGAACTCCTATCAGGAGTGCAAATCTCCATGTTGTCATCTGTCTGCAGCACATCCTCCACTCCGCTTGGGGCCCTTTCTGCAATATGCTGAATGCTGGAGGGAGAAGCGGCTCCCTGTTCGTCAGAACTGAAAGCTGTGGGAGAAGCGCCCAGTTTACTATCCTCTTTAGGAGGCTGCCCAGTATCTGATGAAGTCATGATGAGATTACATTTACCTGAAAGGCGGCCCTCTTCGCAAGACCTCTCGGTGTGCGAAATGTTTTCTTTCATGGTCTCACTATTTTCAGAAACTTGTTTTTTCTCTTTTGCCTCTTGAGTAACTTGTTTCTCACTAGTCTCCTCCTCCTCCTCCTCACCAAATTCTAGTGGAGGCTGCCAGTGAAATGCCTGTTTTCGTTTTGGAGCCTTGTGCTTTTTGTCTTTTTTCCCTTTCAGTTTCTCCTTTGCTTTTTTGGTCTGTTCCCGTCTAAGATTTTCCTTTGACCCGTATTTGTGCTTCCGTGCCTTTCTTCTAGTGTTTTCTGAATTGGAATAGGACCCCTCGGAATCAGAGGTTGAAGACTGCTGCTTACTTGATTTCCAAGCACCATTACCATCGGGCAACGAAGTACTTGCTGAAGACTTTGTTGGGGGTTTGGCTTTGCTGTGAATTTCACCAAACTCTGACTCAGAATCTGACGTAGCTTCACCTTCCTCCTTATCAGAAGATGGCCGGGAAATATTTTTACTGTTTTTAGTTACATCTCGTTCAGAGTTTGACTCAGAGTCCCATTTACTCCCAGCATAATTCTTCCTTTTGGGCTTATTGCCATTTCTAAGGTGATCAAAAAGATTCTCTTTCAAGGCCCTTTTCTTTGAACGAGGGCATTCCTGTTCAGGCTTGGATTTCTCTTCATCTCTGTTTTTCTCTTGCTTATTGTTCATTTCCATCTGGACTTGCCTCTCTTTTTCCTGGACTGACTGTGTAACCTGAACACTTGACTGTTCACTGTCCGAAGAATAATCTAAAGATGACCTGCTTTCGCTATACTTCCTCTGACTCGAAGACTTGTCTCTGCTTTTCACATATTTATTGCGAAGTCTCTTCTCAGAGCTGCTGCTGTGCCTCTTATTTGAAGTGTTACTTTTTTTCCCATTGGATCTAAATTTTCTCTTGGCTCGTCTTCCATCATCACTGCTAACGGAGGAGTATGACGATGATCTACTACACTGTGAACGATCACTGTATTTATTTCGTGAATGAGATCTAGATGAGGCAGACCTAGATCTTGAATGTGAACTAGCTAGACTTCGTGACCTTGTGTATGATCTGGAATAAGATCTACTCCTAGAAGATCTGCTCCTTGACCTTGGTGAACTTTCCGAACTTCTATCACTGTATTTTGAATAAGCACTCCGATCACTTTCTGAATTTTTTTCTCTTTTATGGTAGGATGATGAACTTCCAGTGTCTTTGATATTTGCTAAACTGTAAGTGCTTTGGAGGGGCAGCAAATGGGTTGTTTTAGCTTTCATTTCCTGAATTCGCTCATAAGAGGGCTTCCAGGGCTTCTGTCCCGGCTTCCACCTTGAAGGAGGGGGACTGTCACTCAGTGGTATTACAGGAATATTTTCCGCTACCACTGGTTGTACTACGACGTTTTCATTTTGTGGCACTGTTGCTCTTAAAGGTTCCGTTTTAACTGGTTTATTTTCACTTAACTGAGAGGTTGTTCGTCTTGGTGATTTTGATGCTGTCCTTTGGTGCCCTGACTTGGAAGTAGATCGGGACTTTGATCTACTTCGAGAATGTGATGAGGATTTTGATGGAGTCCTTGATCTTGAGCTTCCTCTGGAATAAGACTGCGAGTGAGATTTAGATCTGTAGGAGTCTCTGCTGGAATGGGTTGAAGAGCTCTGGTCACCCTTATCAGATTTAGACCAGTCCCTCTTTGATGAGTGATGAGATGATAACGAGGAAGAACGAGATCTCCTTTCTCTGTCACAAGAGGATTTCATTCTTCGGGTGGAAGATTTTGAGGATTCTATGTCTGATGGTACAATAATCCTTCTCTTCTTGGTCTGCTTGTGTCTTCTGCAACGTTTCTGCTTTTTAGCTTTCTTTTTATGTTTAACCTTTTTCTCTTTCCTGCGTTTTTTATGGTGACCGTCGGAGTGTCTTGCTGTACTAAGGTCTGAATAATATCCATTATAGGACCACGATCTGGATCTCTGGGACAAGCTTCTCTCATCCCATCGGCTTGAACAGGGGTCACTTAATCTATTGAAAAGAATACAGTATGCATGCAGTTATTTACAAGCATGTTTTCTAGGCTTTAAGTTTAAAACACATTTGTTGTCAATACAAAAGCATTGACAAAAGCCTAGTTAAGAACAAAGTAATGACTCCATCAACACTTTAAGCACAAATAGGAAGGATACATCAAGGGGTGACAGGCCTCATCTTGACCTCATAATTTCAGAGATACACACTGACAACTACTAACAGATTCACTAATAAAAGGATTTTTTAACTAAGCAAAAGATTTCAAATTTGACAGAAAAACGGTTTTGAACCAAACCAAACCAAGAGCACTGCTGATATACTGAGTTCCTTGGCTAGGATGTTCATGACCCTCTGGCTCCGGGAACAATTTTTGAGGGAGAGTCAAATCAAGTTCCCAAACAATTCTGTTGATTCCCTGCAGATACAGGACAGCTGCCTGAACTTTAAAGAGGAAGTCTCTTAAAAAGCTAGCATGACTATTATTTTATTTCAGCTTCACAGAGGTAATTAAGACTTTCTCTTAAGGTTTTAGTTAAATCACTTCCTACAGAAATTGAGGAAAAAGCACATGAAAATAGATGCAGGCTTTACAATCTTAGTGGTAATGGGTAACATCAGGGCTCAAAATAGAGAGTTCTCTATACCACTGTGTCTAAATCACTCTCACATAGCAGACGCGTTCCCTCTTCCGACTTCTAACCATTCTCCTGGACACCCACAGAGGAGAAGAGACTACTACCATGAACAATTATAGAGGGGTCCCACTGGTGTTATTTTTCACTAGCTATTCTGAAGCCAGCCCCATTTCTACAAGAGATATTCTGCTGTGGGGTGTTACAGAGGGTAAGAGAAGGGTACACTTCTGAAGAAGCAACAGTCCGTGGGGTCAGAAGTTAATGCACATGCCAGGTACAGATTTTCCTACCTACCAATTCATTCATCAGTGACTAAGAGACCTGGCTAGGAAAGAATCTGCTCTATGATTTTTAGGTCCTGATTATTTCTAAAATTGTACAAGATATCTCTGAGAGATTCAGTAGGTTTATAGTTTTGTGAGGGAAGACAGAATTCTGATTTAAAAGCACCCTGAAGCCAATCAGCCCTCCTACTTAACAGCTCTCTTTTTGCCAAGTATTCCCAAATGCATTCTCTTTGGTCACGGTCGAACTTTAAATGTTAAGTCTTTAATGAAAAGTCCAGAAGTAAGTCTCTAGCCTCTTAACACTCAAAATATAGTAGACACAGGATTGTGCTCATACTCAAAGCTCTTACTTATCTCCTTTACTCCATTTTTCTCCACTAGGTGGTCTGTATGCTCTTAATCTCTGCATTTCTTCTTTCCAGTGAGGAGGAGTTTCACTGCTATCATCATCGTCTGATTCAGAACATGATCTTGATCTTGGAGGAGTGTGATAGCGCTTCAAAAAACAAAGATAGGAATAACTGTTTTTAAAATACTGCTCAATTACAGTCTGCTATAGGACAGAGTTAGGTATAAAACCCAATCTCAGATGCTGTTCAAAAGCAATAATGATTAAAGTACAAAAGGATGATATGGGGGCGCCTGGGTGGCTCAGTTGGTTAAGCGACTGCCTTCGGCTCAGGTCATGATCCTGGAGTCCCGGGATCGAGTCCCGCATCGGGCTCCCTGCTCGGCGGGGAGTCTGCTTCTCCCTCTGACCCTCCTCCCTCTCATGCTCTCTGTCTCTCACTCTCTCTCTCTCAAATAAATAAATAAAATCTTAAAAAAAAAAAAAAAAAGGATGATATGAAGTTATGTCATGACAATATAAGACACCAAAAGAAATGGGATTTTTTCTTAAAGTCCTAATGATTACATTAATTAGCCTAGATTATTCAACATACTAAGATTTCTCAACATACTCATTCACTGTTTCACATGTCATTTCATACTTAAAATGCAGCAATAAATTTTGATCTAATAGCAGTATCTTCATATACCTATGGAGAATACAACTAGCTCCTTGAACAGATAGATCTTGGATTGTACCTAAAATTAAAGCTAGGATTTTGCCTATACTGCTTACTTAGATAAGTAATTTGAAAAAAAGAAAAGTCTTAACACACATACAATTGTGCCCCTTCCTTTAATCTTCCGTCCAGATTTTGATACAGATGGTTTTTGATCACTTACAACAGGTGTAACATCAGGAATCTTCCTGGAAAAGAAGACTGAAAATTAAATATAAGCAAATGCTGGGCAGTTTTCTCAATATTTAAATGCAGAATTTATGCTCCTATAATACAAAGTCATTTCATTTAGATCCAACACTTTTGCAGAATGAGGCACTCCACATAACCTGATTTTCTAGGCAAACTCTTTAAATGCCAAACCTTAAAAAAAAAAAAAAAAAAGGGTAACTCAATTGGGTAGAAATGTATGTATGATACTATGCATCTTTTTAAGCATAGTACTACTTTTAAACATAGTACTACTTTTAAACAAAATCCCTTTTTACCTGCCTCTTGTCAAAAACAGTGATGTTCTAAGGGAATCCTAAGGTATTTCTGACTCTGATGCTTAAACTGTTTTTAAAACTATATTTTGTTATTTTATTTTATATTTTTAGTAACTCATTTGTCTTCCCCACTCTACAATAAGCTGCCCCTCCTTCAATGCTCTGAATCTACTGCCTTATGGTAATTCTAAGAGTACAGAGTTTGTGGCAGCTAGTCCTCCATGCATGAGAAGTCTTCATACCTCAAGTTTTTTACCTGTTACTAACATGATGGCTGGCTCTTACTGAGTACTTACTATGTGTCAGACATTATGTTAATAAGCATTTTTAACATAACTGAGTCAAATGTATGTAATGTAAAGCTGGCCATTTTAGCCAATTTTAAGTGTACAGTTCAGTGTCTTAATTACATTGATGTTGTGCAACCACCACTACCATCTTTCTAAAACTTTTTCATTACCCCAAACCCAAACTCCACCCATTAAGGAATACCTCCCCATCCCCCCAAATTCCCTCAGCCTCTGGTAACCTCTAATTTATGGCCAAACATTCCATGATGTATGTACACATCACATTTTGTTTATCCAACCATGTGTTGGTAACTTGGGATCTGTCTCTTCCTTTTCGCTACTGTGAATATGTTGCAATGAGCACTGACATACAAATATTGTTTCATTTTCTATTTTCAATTCTTTTGAATATATACCTACCCATGGAATTGCCTGGTTACATGGTAAATCTATGCTTAACTTTTTGAGGAACAACCAAACTATTTTCCCCAATGCCTGAATCATTTCAGACTCCTGCCACCAATGTATAAGGATTCCAATTTCTCCATACCCTTGCTGACACTAGTTTTTTGGGGTTTTGTTTTAAATTATAGCCATCCTGGTAGGTGAGTATTATCTCACTGTGGGTTTGATTTGTATTTCCCTAATGACTAATGATGTTAAGCATCTTTTCATGTGCTTGCTGGCCATCTGTATGAAACGTCTATTCAAATGCTGTGTCTATTTTTAAATTGAGTTGTTTTTTTGTTATTGTTGTCCATGCTTTTGGTGTCAAATGTAAGAATTCATTGCCAAACCCAAGGTCATAAAAATTTACTCCTATGTTTTCTAAGAGTTTTATAGTTTTACTTCTTATATTTAGGTCATGGACCCAATTTAATTTTTGTGTATGATGTGAGGTAGGGGTCCAACGTTACTCTGTTGCATGTGGAAATCCAGTTGTCCCAGCACAAACATTTATTGAAGAGACAGACTTCTTTCTCCACTGAATGGACTTTGCATCCTTTTCTAAAATCAATTGGCCATACATACTGCTACAGGTTTATTTCTGGACTCTCAATTCTATCCCACTGGTCTATATATCTTTATGCCAGTACCACACTATTTTGATGACTGTAGCTATGTGTTAAGTTTTGAAATCAGAAGGTGTGAGTGCTCCAACTTTGTTCTTCTTTTTCAAGACTGTTTTGGCTATTAGGGGCCCCCTACAATTCCATATGATTTGATATTACTTTTCCATTTCTGCAAAAAGGCTGCTGAAATTTGATAGGGACTGCACTGAATCCAAAGCGTGCTTTGAATAGTACTGACATCTTATCAATATTAAGTCTTCCAACCCATGAACATGCAAGGTCTTTCCGTTTATTTAGGTGTAAATATTTTGTAATTTTCATTGTACAAGGCTTTTACCTCTTTAAATGTATTCCTAAGTATTTTATTCTTTTAGATGTTGTTTTAAATATAATTGCTTTCTTAATTTCCTTTTCAGATTGTTCATTGCTGGTTGTTAACAAGCACTTTAAAGGCATTAGCTCACTGAACTCTCATAACAACACTATGAGGTAGGTACTATTAGCATCTTCATTTTAAAGATAGAGAATTTTAAGATTAAGAGGTTACAAATCTTGCCCTAAGTCACAGAAAGAAATGCAACTTCACTCTTAAAGCCAATAGACAGGGTTTTCTAAGCTCCAGGAAATCGGGGTCCAGGTAAACATACAAAAAAAAATACAATTCTTCTATAGAAAAATCTTAACTACAAAGTATACGTACAGTTTTTTTCAGTAATTTCATGACATTACTTAATTCTCACAGTGAGAAAGTAGGTACTCTTGGTAGACAACTGTTAATCCCATTTTCCTCATGAATAAAAAGGACTGAACTTGCCTACACGTGTTCAGCAAAAATTAACATTTACCTGGGAACCTTTTAGGTACTGGTCCAATGCTACCATCCTCCACCTTCTCCCCAGAACATTCTGATTTGATTTGCTGTATGGCCCAGAAGCTGGTATTTTCAAAAGCCTGTGAATTATTCTAAAGTACCACTAAGGTTGAGAACAAATAAGCTAGAGCCAAGTGTGGTACCCAAATTCCGCTATGCAAATTACTAATGATATGAGTTTAACTGCTGATAAATCAGTAAGGTGACAGGTTCACTATGGCTAAGAGCCCCTGCTTCTTATCCTTGCATATGTTGAGTTCCTGAAGCACAATTATAGCTCCCAAACAACTGATCAAAATCTCAAAGATCCTGATAAAATAGATCAATTGTGCTATCTTTGTATGACACAACTACCAGCCAATTATAATTTAAAGTAATTCTGCAGAAAATAACTTCCAAAGATGTTATGTGACCAAAGAAGAGTGATGACCAAACAAAATTATCAGCACTTTTCAGTCACAAATGAAATCACTGCTTTAACACCACCAGATAAGAGAGGTCAGCAAACTTTTTCTGAAAAGGATCCGAGGTAAGTATTTTAGGATTTGTAGGCCAAGAAGAAAATTAAGGCTATTATTCAGGTATTCAGATAACAAGAAAGAAAACAAATTTTCACTAATGTTTTATCAGTAAAATTTGAAACATGACAACTGAGTATCATTTCTTTGTAATAAAGATCTACTAACGAGAGGAACAGAGTTCTTTTGGAGGGGAGAATAAGCCTGCTTCTCCCTCTCCCACTCCCCCTGCTTGTGTTCCCTCTCTTGCTGTTGTCTCTGTCAAATAAAAAAATAAATAAATAAAAACATTTCACTTAATTAGGATTCACAGTATTTCCTATCAAAATAGATAATGCTGTTCATCCAGTAATGCTGATCTGTAATGAGCTTGTACATATTTTATCTTTAAAAATACCTTCTCGCATACAGGGGTGGTATGTGCAGTGCCTGAAATCCTGGAGAGCTCAAGGGCATCGCTGCGATGCCGCGTGCACCAAGCAGCCGTGTGAAGCAACAGAGCAGCCCATACAAACCGCCACGACGACGCAAGTAGGCTGCTGTAGCACAGGACAGCCCTTCTGTATCTTCTTACAGTGAACGAGTGGATGCAGCTGTGTTCCAGTAAAACTTTATGCACACTGAAATTCGAGTTTCATTTCATTTCCACACGTCACAAAATACTACTCTTTTTATTTTTTCTACAACATTTTATCATGCAAAACCCATTCTTTTTAACCTCACAGGCTATATAAAAATAGGCAATAGACCAAATTTGGCCCATGGACAACACCTGTCATATGACAGAGAAACTGACCTTTCAAGTTTCCTGCCTTTTGAAAGCCAAATAGATTTGATCAATGAACTTGGTGTCTTATATTTTAATAAAGAAGAGTCCCACTAAAATTTAACAAGCCAGAATTTGCAATGAAAACATCAGCATGTTAAACTTTTAATTCAAAGATACATCCCATTTTATAACAGCTTTTTTAAAATGAGACAATACTAGGCTTTAAAAATGTTTAATGAACTAAATAAGGCCCACCTTATGTAGAAACCTGACTCTAAACAGGGCATGTGCATCATTTCTCAGCCTTCAACAGAACTCTTCATAAGGAACTTATCAATGATTCGCCACATTATGGTATTTTTGTTCAAACAACATTTAATAGTTCTAAACTTGAGGTAACACAAAATATACTACATAGTATTTTTTGAGGCCAAATCTAAAGCCACACATTATCTTTCCCAATGCAGAGAACTTATCACTGAGCAAGTTATTAGCAAGAGTCACATATTTATGGTGCTAAATTGTACCCCAATCACCATGCAATTAATTTTACACTATTCAAATTGGAACACATTTTATCATTCCATTGAATCCAAACAGTTCAACTGACCCTCTGTTGTGGCAACCAAATCTCATCTCTAATGAAAAGCCAAGAAAAAAAAATTAGTAATGAAATCTTTCCAGAGCTCCAGTTAAGAACTTCTCCCCTGGCCTATGTGCCCAACCCCCTTTCCCTACTAGTAGAATGTGAATTCTGAAAGGTAGGGTATGTGTCATTCATTAACCTGGCATCTCCCACAGTATTGTTCAAAGCGCTTTGACTATAGGTCATGCTCAATAAATGAGTGTGGAACCGCAAGGAACTGATGGAATTATCATTCACAGAAATGAAAACACCGGGGTTAATAACCCTACTTACGGTTCAGGTTCCACGGTGACAAGAGGCATATCTCTTCTCAGTAAAAATCGGTTCTCAGGAACTGGAGGAATCTCCTCTGGGCGGACCACAGGCTTTTCTCTTTTAGCATTTGAATCAACTGACCTTTTTTCATTGGTATCACTCCTCTCTGAGTGACTTAGAGAGAACAAAGCATGCCACCAATTAAAATGTAAAATGTTTGCATTTCAGATAATATTAAAGAACATACAAAGCATGACCACAGTACTAAATACCACAGTACTAAATTCTGCTATGAAAATTGTCAAATGATCCTAAAACTTTTTTAAGTTTCAAGGATTTTTTTTTTTTCACCTGCAAACATGTAAATCTTTGCTATGAAATGTCTGTGCTACCCCTAGAATAGTCAAATTTCAAATTAAAGTCCAAAAAATATTATCCTTTTTCAACAATAGGTTATAAAGCTAAGTTTACACAACTGCACATGCTTTCCCCATCAGGGTGTGTGTGTGTGTTTTTTTTTTAGCTTACGATTCCCCTGGTGTTTCATGCTTACCCTTTTGGGCTCATTATATGTTTATTCCTTGGCTCTTCTGAACTGCTTGCTTCCTTTCGTCTCTTTTTAGAATGTTTAACTTTTGGCCGCCTCTTACGTTTCCTTCTTCTGCTTCTCTCATGTTCAATTTCACTTTCTGAAGAAGATTCTGAAGAGGAAGAGGAATTGGAAGAGGAATCCGAGTCTTCTGAATGAGTTGGTTTCTTCCTTTTTTTCTCAAAAACTTTTAAGAAATATTAACAAGAATATTAATACTGGATTTCAGTGCCTACCGTTGAGAGTAAAACATGTGACTACCTAGTATCATAAAACATGCTTTATCAACAGAAAACTAAAGACAGAATTTAAATAAACTTTTCTTCATGTTGATAATACAATGTGCTGCTGAGACTGTAAGGTAACAAAGCCCTTGCCTCATGAGGCCTATATTCTAGTTGGATCAGGTAAGAAAATAAGTAACTGCATAATATGACAAATGGTTAAGTGCTAGGACAGAAACACAAAAAAAGCAGGGTAAAGGGAATAGGGAAAGTCAGGGGGTAACTGAAAATTACATTTGAACAGAGACCTGAAGGAAGTGAGGTAAGGGGTCATGCAGATACTTGGATGGAGAGTGCTGCAGACAGTGGGGACAGCCAGCACAAAGGTCCCTGAGTGCTTGGCGTGTGTCAACGTGGCTGGGAGGACAATGAATGAGGGGGAAGAGGTGAGAGAAACCGCAGAGCAGACTGCCTTACGGACCAAGTAAAGACTTTAGCTTTGGCTGACTAAGGGAGCCCTTGGAGAAGATCACTCTGGTTGCTGTTAAGGACAGATTAGAGGATCAAGAGTACAAGCAAGGAGACCAATCGGGAATTTACGCTGAGAAAAGATTATAGAGAAGGACAGAGGTAAACAGGACAGGTATGAGGCTACTGTAATCGTCCAGGTCTGGACAAGGCTGATAGCAGGGGGAAGTATAAAGAAGGGAGATTTGATAAGATTTCTACATGACTTGGATAGAAAGTATGATAAGAAACATCGGGGCTATTGCCATACAACTTGTATAGTTTCCTCCACTACTAAAATCCAGTAAGTATGTTTAAGTTATAGTCTTCAACATGTTTTACCTATATCCTAGCTCCCTCCACTCCCCAAAAACCCTTACCATCTTTTGTTGATTTTGTGGCAAGCACCCCACAATCAATAACTCGCACATCTGCATAAGGTCTACTTGCAGCATCCGTTTTCAGATTTTCAATCTGTTCGATTACTTCAAAACCAGAAATAACTAATCCAAAGACGACATGAACCCTGTCACAATACAAATTCGAGAAGGAACTGGTTTGATCCCAATTAAGCCATAAGCAGTAATCACAACTGTTATAAATGACATGTCTACAGACCTCAATAGAAAAGCAAAGTGTCTGATGAATGAAACAACTAGAAGGGAATTAGAACTTGAAATCTGCTTCATAAAAGGAACATACAACAACAATTACTCAAATTGAGCCTCAGTTTTCTGCCTAAAACAATATTTCTTTTTTATGGTAGAGTCAGAACAGTCAGACTGCCCTTAATACTCAGAAACTATTGTTACAGAGTCACTCAAGAGAGCACGACTGGGAGGTCTATCCATAGGCCCAGATAAAGACCCCATTCAATGACATGACAGCTATGAGGTCTCAAGACAGACTAACCTGTGATCCTTAAGGAGGGGCCTGGCTTTGAGAGATTAACCCAGAGATCAAGAGCACCCCCTTGAGGTTCACCCATAATCCAACCTGTATTGGACTGGCCACCCAAACAACTCCCCAAGGTAATAAAATGTCACTCTTACCCATCCAGGTGTGGAGCAGGTTTTGTGGTACTGTGTAAGAAACATCAACACAAAGATGGCAAAAACCAGGTGTTCAGGTGAACAGAGCAGAAGGGTTTTAAAGCACAGCATGTAGAGAACAAAGAGGTAAAGATAAAAAGATAGGGAAAAAGTTAAATGTGCTATACATCTAAACTTAAAAACCTTACAAACAGCAATAGTAGCCATTTTACTGGTTAAAAAAAATCACTCAAGATTATAACAAATTACAAAGTTGTATTTATTTCTGCAATATGAAGACTATCCTTATACATATGTATGAAACAACTTTGAAATAGCATAAAAATACCTTAAAATTAAAGTTATTCTCGAATCCAAAACAACAAAAGCAAAAACAAACTCAAAATTTATCAAGATAATTAAAGAGAATAAAAAGTACTATCATTTGCCCTAAGGAAAGAAAAGTATGATCAATACTTGGCCCCTACACTTAAATGAGTTCTTCTATTTGTTATTTCTCATACTGAGTCAGTCTGCATCTTTTAGGCAGGCAGATGGAGGTAGGCCTTAGGAGTCCTGTTTTCAGAACTTCCTGCCCCTCCCACCTAAGGTGAAGCTCTGCCGCTCACAGCAACCCTAAAAATGCAATAGGGAGCAAACCTTCCCTTTGTCAACACTTCTGACATGGTAAGTAATGATGGATAACACTATAGACACTTTACATTTCTATGGCCCAGAAAATGCCCAACCTGCTTCTTCTACAGTCACGATCTGGCCGATAGTCACTCTTGGGAAACCTATGGGGTATATTTGGTTAAGACATTTCGAACCCAAACTGGTTGTTTCCCTTAGCATTGTCACAAATCTTCACAATATGTGAATTGCAGTGAAAATTCAAAAGCAGATAACTAGACTCAGAAGGATGTACCACCAAAATCTTAGTTTGTAAGAATGAGAAATAGAAGAATTTGAGAAAGAACACTGGCTATCAGATCATGCTTAAAGCAGTCAACTGTGCTAGGAGCTCCCATATCAATTTTTATATTCATTTTAAGGCAATTCTAAGATACGTGATTCAACAAAACACAATTTTAACCTTCACAACAATGTTAAAAATCATTATTCTACAAGGAATGGTAGCATTTATACTTACATTAAGAATATTCAGTTCTGTAAAAGCACTACAGAATTTAATTTTAATAAAAATCGTCAATTTAAGAAGTTCCAGAATTTAAAGCAGTCCTGAGTTTTAAAACCACAAAGTCTCAAATTCTCCTTAGAAGACTGAGAAGTTGTAATTCAAGCCAATATAATAGTAAAAATGAGTAAAAACAGAAGAAAAAAAGACAGAAAATCTGGCAAGCAGGTGAGGAACTAATGCTTAAATAATTAAACTAGCATCCGGAAACTACTTTGGATAATAACTTTAAGACGGAAATGTGCTTCCCATATATATAAAACTTTACCAAAGCAGGCTTATGATAGGAAGATATGAGTACATATGCTAGACAATGATTCCATTGTATGAAAGATGTAAGAGGTAAAATTTGTAAAGATAAAAATGTCCTACAATGTTAAGGGATTGATTTCAAATACGTAGCAGTGAAAACAAGGAGTGGTTTATTGATTAGGTATATTCCTCCTCCTTCGTTGATCCTTTCTCTCACAACTCTCACATCTTTTGGGGAAAAGCCTACAGATTTTTCTAAAACACACAGAACCCAATTCAGTTTGCCACACTGGCTAATAGGAGTCCTGTAAAAACCACCTGATGGCAAAACTCTGGAGCAAATGGTGAGAGATGTGAACACTCTAGCTAACTGCAGTGAGATAGCAACATACCCCTTGAGACTCAACTGGAGGATGGAATCACTACGTTTATGACAGATTCCAGTTTTGTTCTGAATTCAAGTGACAACTGAAGACAAAAAAACTTGGTCTTTTACTGCAATAGTGAAGAAAACAAATGAAGATAAGTACAATTATTGCAGGGGCAAATTTCAGCTGGCCTGCTGTGCCTAAACTGGTGTGAATAATTAAGTCCATCACTTGCATCCTCAATTCAGGAGGCAGAAATACAAATGTATACTTAAATCGGGTTAGACTACATATTAAGAATACTGAAAGTACCTTAACAAAGAAGCCCCTCGGGGTTCTCAGTCTACATTCCAGGAGTAGAAATAACAGTGTAAAGCAGGCATACTGGCACTAGGCTGACACCAGACATGGATAAACAGAGGACACTGCCAAACGGGCAGGCAGAAATGATATACTTGGTCCAAGCTATTCAATCCTACTCAACCAGACAAAGAGATCTCATCCCACCAACTCTTAACTGTACTGATCTTTCAAAACTACACAGTGGTAAAGACCCATGCAGTGGTGACACTCAATAAATTCAGACCTCACAGCCAGAGACTACCATAAATATTTAAGTTTATACATGCTTATGAAAACATACCTAAAGGAGAAAGAACCACAAAGAACATTTCAAATTATAAAGGCTTTCAATATTTTCACATTTCCATTTTCTCCTGTCACTTAGACACTGATTTTCCAGTTTCCTCCACCCCCTGAATGTACTTTAAAAATATATGCATAAGGATTCATTTAAACTTCGTAAATCCTAGACATTGAAAAGTGTCACTGTTACTCCAAAAAACAATCTACATTATTATACCATTATCAAAGAAGCTTTTAGCCTTATACAGAAATTAACAGTTCTGCACTGAAATGAAATCTAAACCATTATATACAATACACCCTCTTCCCTGCCCTCCCCCAGAAGAGGTGTGGAAACATGGTGGGAAATGTACTTCCCAGGATTAACCACGAACAATAAAACACACTTGTTTTACATGTATTGCTGCCATAAATCAAGCAGAAAGTTTTTCTTAAAATGGTTCAATGCACATAACAATAGGATTAAAGAGATAAAGGCAAAGAAAGAAAAAGAGAGCCTTAGAGTAATGAGACATTACCTTTGGAGCGCACGGTGTAACACTCTTTCTGTAAATTTTACACAAAAATGGCAAGAAATAAATTGTAATACACTTTTAAGACAAGACTGAATCTATGTTTTAATATCAATATAACTTTGAAATTAAATATTTTCAAGTTTTATGCAAAGCAAGAAAGCTTTTTTAAAATGGAGGGCTCTAAATTTTCTTTCACATAGGATATGTATGTAGAGACGAACTATGCTTAAGAAAAACACTGTGGTGAAGGTGGGAATCTGCTCAGAGCCTTAATATTGTAACACTAGAGTGTGAGTAACCAGTGTATTTCGCTTTGCAAATCCTACAAACTAGCTAAGTCAACCAACATCTTTCTCAAAAAAAGAGTAATGTATCCTGAGTACATACATGAATATAAAAGTCTGAATGCCTTGGAGCAGTTACTACCAGTGGAAAGCAAAAATGTCAATGAAAAGGACTGAGTTAAGAGAATTCAAAACAAAATTTCAGGGAACTTTCTCTTCTTTTTTTAGTAATTCACTTCAAGTAGTTAAAAATCTTTCATGTGTCTACATTTGAAATCTTTTTTTCATCACACACAACAGACCACTATTAGGAATAAGTGAGCAAAATTTGGACCATAGTTTCTGTTGGACACTTCTATAGTTGTTAAGCCCCCGAAAATAATAATAATGATAATAATAATAATAATAAAACAATAAAGCAGCATAACTAGAATTTTTAGGATCTTCTCAAAGGATAAAAAGGCAAGAGATGAAAAGTATAAAAGTATGCTATCAAATTTTGGCCAAGATACTTGCTTTTCCTGCCTAATCTCTGATTTTCCCCATTGTAAAAAATTTTTTTTCAAAAAATACAGTCTAACCAACTTTAAATCTATTAAACTTTAAACATATCTATATACTCAGACCAAAATCCATATTATATATAGTGGACAAAATTCTTTATAAAGGTTTCAGACTATTAAATCTTGAAATATTTAAAAACAAGCTTTAATTTCTTATAAAGGCATTGATACATGAATTACTGTCAAAAAGAATATGATGTTTCAAATAATGTGGTGTATTCAATGAATGTTGTAAAAAAAAAAAAAAGTGACTCCAGGTCTAAAGTAGTATGAACATAAAGATAACCTATTTCTGTCTAATGTAGCCTTGAACATGCAATTTTTTCCTTCAACTCCTGAAACTACCACACCATCATGGAAGAGGCACCAAATGATAGTGAGAGACACAGCTTGTGTAAGAACCATGGAAACTACCCAAGCCATGTTACAGAGCTCTCCCTATGTGTTCCAAAAGTCACCAAATAGAGAGCTTTCAAAAATTCAGCACTAATGTTAACATAATACACATCAAACACCACTAGATACAAAATTCCTTCCAGGTTGCTAATACATATGTCACATAAACACTAAGTGATATTAAGACTTGATGTTACAGATGACACTTGATACTCAGAGAACTTGGTTTATGGTTAAGTTTCACCAACATCTTTGCTGATGAAAAATCTTGCAATGTACACATAAAGATACTACCCCCAAAAAGGAAGGAAAAACTAGAACCTCCCAGATTATTGACACTTACTAGCATTTCTTCTCATACAGATTCATGAATATGTGGAGGGAAAACCATTTCTGCCCAAATTTACTTTTGCTACCCCAAATTGTAGCATAGCTTTATAAACCCCTTAACACCAAACCGGTCTTCACCTCCCCTTGCTCTGCTCTGAAACGATCAGCACTTCTCTCCCACTCAGGTGAGCAGCCATTTCTAAGTCTGGTTAGGACATATCCTGGAACTACTTTATATTTTCCTCCCACAGTCCTATTTATACGTGTTAACACTTTTTGTTTAAAGTTTAACTTTTCCACATTATCTTGTTTTCTTAAATTTTTATAATTATCATGACCACTGACAGTGGCCAACGACAGAGACTGTTCTCCAAAGCTCTGCAGGTCTTTCTACTCCATGGCTGTACATAAAGTGGCACAGACCAAGCGAAGGGAGACAAGTGTACCACCACGTCAACGTTCTGTTCGCAGCTGATGAAGACTGCTGCCTAATTTAGGCAAATGAGCCTGAAGCTTCTTTGCAGCACCTTTCAGACTGATGTAAATTAGGCAATTACAACTACTTTCCTTTAGGCAAGACAATGTTTGCACATAAATCATTCCACATATTCAGAAATCAAGGATCAACCTACAAAACACTTTCTTCCTTTTATGCCCACATTTTCATGCCAAAATGTTTACTTTATCTTTGAGAATGGGACAGGTACTTCATAAGCCAAAAAGGAAAGACAAACTAACTCAAGGTAAATAGCAAATAAAACTAGAACCAAGGTCTCCTGATAGCTAGAATAGTAGCTCTAACCCAAGAGATAGTTATTTAATACAAAGCTATAAACCACCTAATCTTTTTAATGACTACTTCATATAATACCTTCTTTATCTTGTGGATGAATGTATAGAAAAACAATGAAAATTAGAGAATTAACAGACTGTTATTACTGGAAGCCAAAGGAAATGAAAAATGTTTCCGTGTGTCATTTTATCTTTGCATTATTTATACAAGGAAAAGGTTGGATGAGATGATCTTGAAATCCTTTTCCACTCTAAGACTTTACAATTCTATAGCTTTTATTATGGTTTCTTCCTAGTGTTTGGCTTCAACAAATAAATAATAAAAAGAACAAAAAGACTAAATACTGAGTTAACTTGGTTACTATTTTGGTTCCAGGTCTTTGAATTCCTTCAAAAATATTTCAACATGAACAAACCATTATTTCCTCAGTGAATCATGGGGACAGTATCACTTCCTCCATGTTTCTTGAGCAGTACTATTTCAAAAAGAAATAGTAGGCCCCCCAAAGCAAAATCATTATGACTGATACAGCAGGAGATATAAGCAGTTACTGCAAAAATCATGAATGGCTTTATAGAAGAAAATCTGGTTTTTACATGATTGTTACATCCAAAGAAAGCAATATGTGCACAATTATGTTTAATAAAAATTATGTATGCCTTAGGAAGGGGAGGTTTTAAATTCTTCAGTAATGAAGACAACAGTTACTGCACAAAGCACAAGAGTCCCTGAGGAATATTTTGCAAATACAGTAATAGCACCAAATTTACTCCCTGGGAATGACAAAGTAGTAGATTTAGAATATGAACTACAAATATAATTGTGGAAGGATGTAGTAAAAGTCCTTGTTAAGCCTATAAAACTGGACCTATCAAGGCAGTTCTTGGCATTTTCCCACCCATTTTCACACTACCCTTTCCTGTCTGGAACGCAGAAGAGCTGTTTGAGGCGCCCCAGGAAGAGCTGTGGTGAGAGGGAGAAGCTCAGTACCACCCTCACCACCCTCACCACCCTCACCACCCTCACCACCCTGGGGCGGCCCACAGAGGGCTCTGCCACGGCCCGCACTCGCAGCCAGCCTAAGCTTTGAGAGTTTAGCTGGGATCACAGACACAACTTGAAGATAGTACATTATACTTCTGCACTACTTCCAACTCCAAAAGGATTTGGGCTTGCAAGACAGAGATTTTCAAAGATTTTTCTTTTTATGGGCCATCATCTCCATTTCCCCTTTCTATAACAGAAAGGAAGTGTTTTGTTTAGAAAGGTGAATGTTAGTTTTATTTTATCCTTCAACCGGGGGGAACCGGTACTTTCAGCCAGCACAAAAAAGCACATGCCACAAAAATTTCTTTAAAAAAAAGACAATTTTTTTTTGCATGTACAAAAACACTAAAATACTTCCAAGACTACTTTTAACTGCAAACTCATTTCCAGAAGCAAATTTCAAACTAAAAGTAGAAAATTTTCTTTCAACGTAAGTTCAGAGTGATTTTAGTGCCATTCTACAGTTAATTATGAAAACAAGCTTAAAACTTTTAATCCTAATTCACGGATGTTACAATTTTCATTTGGCATTCCTTGCCAAAAATAGCAGTCCAATGTAAAATTAAACTATGTAGAAACAGCAATGGCCGTAATTTTGATACTAAGCATTCCTACAAAAGACTTAAGCAAGTACTAAATAACACAGAAACAAAATAAATTTTTTGAAGGGACAACCTTGTCATATACTGGATGTTAATTAATGTATGTACCTGCACACCAGTTTTTACTCTTCACGTTTGATTAAACAAGCTAAATGGTATGTAACAATGGGAAGAAGCTGCTGCTACCTGATAAATTTTAATGTACTGATATAAAAAAAGGAAATCTAAAAGAAACTTTAGAGCCCTCAGATGGTAGCTTCTTGACCAATGAATTTCATTAGTTTATCATGTTCACAGTTCAGATAAGCTTAAAAATGGAAATGGGAAACCTCAATCAAAGAGTAAATAGCTTTATATTAAATTACTATAAAGGAAGTTTTTCAAAATATTTCCCACTATTTTTTTTTGGCCCTTAAGAAGGTTAAAGAAAGAAAAATACCCTAGTAGAGAAGTATTAATAACTACTGCTCTATGGGATCACAACACGATCTAGGAACAAATTTCGGTCTTCCTTTTTTCCTGCACAGCTCCAAGCACTGTCATCTTCCATCAGCTTTCCATTTTTAGGACATTCTTAGGAACAGAATGCCCCTTATCTGAACTTTATCAGATCATGTTGGAAATCTATTTTGCAGACAAATTTAAAATGTGAGATTTATTTTACATGAATAATTTACTCCTTTAAAGACAGGGAAGCGCCATTCATACTCGTCCATTCAGAAAGATGACAAGAACTTTTTCTGGCAAACCATGAATAAAATATTTCTCCAACATATATAGTACAACTGTAGAGATTTACTTCTAATCAAAAGCATTAAACTTCATGCTAGCTAATTATCTTTCCTATTTTAAATCCTGGGATTATAATATAAATAGGTTTTAGAGTAGCTTTAGATAAGAATATAACTAAAAATACGCTAAAATAAAAATATAACTAAAAATATAACTAAACCAAGTAAGGTTTTGGTTGTGCCTGTACATACATGAAAAGGTATTTGTTTTTTTTAAAAAGCAAATTTTCGCATTCTGAAGTTTCCTGAGTGCTAATCTCATAAATTTTGGTGGAAATGACAGCAATATTGGTTTAACTCAATTATGCATAGAGATCTCAAGAGATTTAAGTTTTTACAATGCTGATGCAATAGCAAAGTCACTCATCTCTGTACAGTATCAGAAAATAATGGTACCTCTCTCAAATTAGCTCAAAGAGCAACAATAAGAGAAAAAGCAACCACACAACGGTTTACTCAAAACAACTGTTCTCCAGGCCAAGGGCACATTAGTCCTAGTCTATGAACAATTTTTAAATGCTGATCAATAGTTTATGTTCCAATCTAGTTTTGGTAAATTGAGCCCCCAAATTTGTTAAGTCAAAGCCAATTTCCTTTCCTAAGACGACAACATACTTTGAAAATAATGTACATCTTCAAGTTACATCTTTTAAGTACCATTCTTCAAATGGAGGATATATGCTGAACGCTGAGGCGGTTGTTAGAGCCTACTAGGTTCTGTAACGTTAGAAATTAGTAACAAAGTCCAATTTGGCAGAATTCTAGCATTTAAACTTGGTTTAACTATACCATCTTTCTCATGAACAGCGCTTCTCTGTTTAAGAAAAGCTCATCTCTGAATTATGCCTACTCACATGAAAAACTGGGAACCATTGGTATGTTTCCCTCGATTTGCCATTGACAAAAGGAACGCTCTGTCATGTTTGAGAATAAAGTTTTCATCTGTTTGAAGAAAACACAAATTCGTCAGTCTCCAATTATAAGCCACTTTTAAAGTGTAATGTTCACAGTAATAACTAGAAAGCAAAGGATGAAATTCCTCTTCTGGTCAGTATAGATACTTGTCTGAATATTTAGAAAAAAATTTTTTTAACTAATCAAATAACAAAAGCATAAAAAGACCAAAAATACTACTTAAAGCCTTGGGGAAAAGAACATATATTTAATGCTTTATACAAACAGCCTTAGAATAGTCACTTTTAGTAGTAACATACTTTGGCTAAATGATAGGTAAACTACGTATTAACTTTAAGGGAAAACCAGTAAAGAGATTTTAGAAAAATCTCTACGGTAAAGCTCACTTTCTTCAACTTTCCAATTATCTTGCTTAATGCACTATATATGGGAGAAGTTTAACAATCTTACGTGCTTAATTTCTATATGGTAAACTTATTATTCAACTGTATTGAAGCTAGACTATGAGAGCAAAAAACAAAGTTACAATTTTAGTTGTAAGGATGTACAAAAATTAAATACTGTATATAGACTCCTAATAGGATCAAAAATTATCTAAGGAGGCAAGTCCCATAAAAACAAAAACTTAAAGGGCAAAATATAATTTTAAGATACACAAGTATCTGCCACAGGAACAACCACATTAAAGTGGCCTACAACATTAGTTTCAAATTACTACAAGATGATAGAACCAGCTAATGATCTGCTTCCTACTGGTTCAAAGGAAAAACTGTTATGAAGATCACTCAGAGATTATTTTAATTCCAGCAGAAATACCTTCAAAACTAATTTAAATTTCCTTGTAACATTCATACAAACAAATCTTTCTTTAGAACAAACAGAAACATAGAAAACTTTAAAAAATGATTACCTTGGGAACAGGCTTCTGAAAAAGAGTAGTAATCCATTTTCCCCCAAAAGAAATATAAAAGACTATTATAACACTGAAGCTATCATGGCATTTAAATCTAGTAAGATTGGATCCCATTATAAATCTCTGCAACTGACTTTTCTAAGGCTTTTTGGGGCAAGTGCAATAGTTAGAGACTTATGCAAATGCTACTACTGTAGGAATAAAACACAATCATATAGTTCTAGTATACAAAAGAAAACATACAAACCTCTGAGGAAGTAGGAAATACCAACTTTTATTCAAAGAAATTGCTTGGTTTAGGGGGAAAAAAACATAACTAGATTTTTTTCCCTGATGTAGAATAACCCATTGGGAAAAGAAAAGAGATAGAGATGCATGTATGAAATAGTATACAGAATTTTCCAATTCTTCAAGCAATATTAAGAAATCCAGCCACAACCTAACCCAGGCTGTCCATAAATTTATTAGGAAGGGTGCAAGGGAACAGAATTGGAGTTTGTGTTACTGAGCTTCGTTCTCTTACCTTTTCATTTTGCAAAAGACCACATTCTCTATAAACAAAAGAATATGTTGACAGTTTTAGGCAGGAAGATAGGAGTTTTCATGTATATAGTTGCCTAACCTCCATGCTGAAAGTCATGTTTAACCATAAAGTTAGCCTTAATTAATCTTGTCAATTAAAAGTTACATATTACAATATATTTTATCCCCAAGTTCATGCAAATAAAGTATTCTCATGCAGCATTAGTTTCATGCAAAAAGTGAACTATAAGTAAACCTCTCCTCATTAAAAAGTACATGATCAAATTTGCTTTAATATCAGAACTGAAACAAAGGACCATAAAATATTAAGCCTTACCTTTAAAATATCCACCATAAATTGATTCTCCGCCTTTTCCATTACCTGCAAATAATGAGTTACATTAAATTATAATGAAAATTAAAATATATTAATACATATAAATTACTTTTTATGCTTTCAATTTGCTAAAGAAGCTAACACCTTGTAATTGGTATAATCAAAATTCTACAAATCCTCAATTAACCTCATCTTGAAAATAAAAGTCCAAAAAAAGCCCATTCCTATTTATAATAAATACTATTAAAAATTATCTCCATAACCCATTTATTTCAAAAAGTATCACACCAACAAAATTCGGGAAGAATAAAAATAATCCAAAAGTACTTGGCATTCATTGTAAGGGAATTCACCAACTATTTATATTATTATTAAAAGTACATAAAAACAAAATACATTCTTACTCTACACATCTACTCACTGACCATTTAATATTTATATCATACTGTGACATATTTATAATGGTATAATGAGATAGCTCAAGAAACTGACTGATGGAGTTTTTAAAAGTGCAACTTTTAGCTCTACCTTCGCTGAAGTCCCCACCCTGAATCATAAAGTTTTTAACCACACGATGGAATGTAGAACCTTTGTAACATAACTTCTTCCCAGTTGTTTTCCCAAGGCCTTTCTCTCCTGAAAAAAAAAAAAAAAAAGAAGTGAAATTTAGCTACAAACATCTTTCCATGGAAAGAACCATCCAATTAGTCCTTTGTGAAGTCCCTCCTGTGTGTTGGCACTGTAAGAGATACAAAACATAGGGTAATGAGGCAACACACAAACTAAAATAAGTATCAAGCAGCATATAAATGTTAAATTGTGTGGCATAGACTCTACATGCAACAGGAGAAAAGAAGGATTAGAAATGGTTATCACTCCAGTAAAAGAGGACAATCAAGGAATTGGTTCAAAGATTGTCTATGTATTTAACTGTATCTTACTTTAAAATAACATTATAGATGTTTTTCTCATTTTTTTCTACTTTTAAAAAATATAAATCCAATTAAAGATAAAAAAGAACAACCACATTATGTTTTGTCTATCTTCTAATCCTAAATTTCTTGTGAATCTGGAATGCTAAATTTGTTTAAAACAATGAAATTTAGAATTTATGAACTACAATGTTTAGAGATGACTTTATTACACACAGTAGTACTTTCTTTTTTACTTTTTTTTTTTTTTTAAGATTTTTATTTATTTATTTGACAGAGAGAGAGAGATAGTGAGAGCAGGAACACAAGCAAGGGGAGTGGGAGAGGGAGAAGCAGGCTTCCCGCCGAACAGGGAGCCTGACGTGGGACTCGATCCCAGGACCCTGGGATCATGACCTGAGCCGAAGGCAGACGCTTAACGACTGAGCCACCCAGGCGCCCCTCTTTCTTTTTTACTTTTGAGACCATTTCTTTGTCCTTTCTACCCTTTAAGAAATGCTTCCCTGATTTCCTATCAGTGAAAATAGTATTTTTTAATGTGCTAAACTCGTTTTACAGCCAGTTTTTACAGAAAACATCTAACTGTTAAGCAAGATAAAACTATAAGCCATGACTTCTCATTGGAAATAATTTAATAACTCACTTACCTGAGCATAGGCAAAGGAAGTTTTTGCATGTTTTTGGACATATGTCTGAGAAGAGCTGAAACATAATGCGACCAACTGAAATAAAACACATAAAAAAAAAGTAAGCAAGATGATTAAATATGCCACATTTTATATGAGAGAAATAAAGTAAATAGAATTAACAAATTGAAAGGTCCATTTTACAAAAATTACAAATTTAATTTTTCAAAAAACTTAACAGGAAAAAATTTAACTGAGCAGTACCAACTAACAAGAATTCCACTCTATTTGTTAGTGTTAGAATTCACAGGCAGCCTAAGCGGTTTCAGACCTGAAACTGTAGGATTTTAAGTGTCTTGTAAAGGGGCTTTACATTATTATTATTTTTTTTTTGTCAGAGGGAGTCAGTGAGAGAGGGAACACAGGCAAGGGGAGAGGGAGAGAGAGAAGCAGGCTTCCCGCTGAGCAGGGAGCCCAATGCGGGGCTCAATCCCAGGACCCTGGGATCATGACCTGAGCGGAAGGCAGACGTTCAACAACTGAGCCACCCAGGCGACCCAGGGGCTTTACATTATTAGATCCCTTTTAGTACAGTTACCTACCTGAACACTATTAAATTTGCTTTAAAATATTCTCAATAATAGTTGTCTAATCTATGCTTGAGGCCCTCCAGTGATGAGAGCACATCATATCACAAGATAGTCATTGTGGCCAGTACTGTTAGAAGAAAGTTCTGTCCTCTATATCTAGCTTTCTTTATGCAAGAACTATTTAGAGCCAACCTCCTGAATTGCCACCCACAACTAAAACTCACATTCTATTCCCTGAGAGAGCATAAAGAGAATAGTTTATGGCTCCTAAAAAATACCAAAAACACACAAAACAGGCAAAAAACATACAATACACAGGAAATGATAAGTAGCAAGCCTACAAATTTGATTTAACTATGCCACAGAAAAGTGGCACAAACTTTTTGTTCTCAGGACTCGTTCCAACTCTTAAAAATCACTGAGCTTTTACAATGTGGGTTATATCTATTGCTATTTACTGTATTATAAATTAAAACTCAGAAATTTTTAAAACACAAGAATATAGAGCACACATTCTATCAGCTGTCAGAGTGGTGACATCATTACATATCGTGTAATCTCTGGAAAATTCGACTTGTGAATGAGAGCGCAACACACAAATTGTATTATTACAAAAGCACTTTTGACTTTGCAGACCTCACGAAAGGTCTCAATAAAGTAAAAGATGATATTCTCATTTACAATGATATTCTGATTTACAATCACTTTCCTGAGTCCCCTTTCCCTTTATTCTACAGAATCTTTTCCATCATGAATGAACACTTTTATTTACTCAAAGGGACTTATAAATAAATCAAAATTAACTGCGGACCAAATACAAGTCATTTTCAGCACAGACACAAACTGATTTGATTTACTCTCTATCACTAAGAATTGAATTTATTCTTCGCCCAGTCAGTCAGTTCCTCTGAGGACAAAACAAAGCTACAAAGCTACTACATAACAGACATCCTTAAGGGATAAAAAGTGGAATAATGGCATCATATAAGTCATTCTGTCTATAGCTTCAATGGAGCCAAATTTTAAAGCAATTTCAAAATGTTCTAGCTGATCTTTATATCTAAAGGAATGAAGAAAAAGATAGGAAATTAGAATTTTAAAGATATTATTTATTTTGTGAAAGAGAGAGCACGCAGGTGCTATTTTATAGAAAACAGATACTTTTTTGAAAATATTCTGATGTATAGTCTTTAAAGAAAAAAATAAGTCCATGTGGTCCAGTAGTTTACTTATTTTCAAGTGATAGCAGGCATTAACTGTGATTACAAAACATTGAAAAGAAAAATGTAAACTACAGTTACTTAAGGAAAAGACAGAATAAATTTGCAGAAGAGAAGATTCTCTGGCTCCCAAACTGATGAAAAAAATGACTATGATAGCAACCCCATTTCCCAATTGTAAATGCCTGAGGTTTACTGTCTCCTGTAATAAGTTAACATGCTCTGCTGATGCCTCTTCAGAAACTGATGCTGCTTTTGAATGAATGAATGAATAAGATCTCAAGGAATATTGTTAACACTACTTACACTTTACTGGGATTTAGTAATCTTTGTTAATCAGTCATTACTGTCAATAATATTATCTTTTATATATACTAAGATTTCTTCCAAGGAACTACCACTGTGCCAATAAATACACTGCTCTGTAACTGTATAACTAAAATCTTAAATTGGTTTATGTAAGCATTAGTTTGTGTAAGCATCAGTATGGTGTTTTCAGGGCAAAAAATGTATGATTAAGGACAAAAATGACAGAGCGGGAATGGCTTCTGATTTTAATACCAACATACCAACACACAGATCCTTAAAAATAGCCAAGACAGGGGAACAATACAGAGATTACTCAGGTAGCATCAACACATTTTTAAACACTGGCACAGCCAGGAAAAGCCAAGACACACCTATGTCATGTTGTAATCCTCATTTGGCCACTAGGTGGCAGGAATAAAATTAGCAAGTACCCAGAATCTGGGTAAAATCGAACATCACCTTTAAATAATATTATTGTTTCTTGTTCTTAGAAACAGCTGCACTGGAATTACACACACAGTAGTGAAAAAAGAGACATATATCATGGACATAAAAGATACGGTAGTTGGAAAAGTGAGCAGTGGTTGGGAAAAAATTTAGGAAATGTACTACACAGGGCAAAGAATATCACATATACAATTACAAGTAAGGGATGAGGATTAAGAACAAAGGTATGAACAGATCATAGTGGGTAAGCAGAGTGCAAAATCTAAGAGGAAATTAAGGAATGGGTGTGCCATTTCAACAAAATCAGGCCATTTACCCATTTAACTGAGATCCTCCCCATGTTCAGGTTGTCCAATAGTATATAAGACACAGTGCTTATTTTGGGGAGCTCACAGCTTAGCTTGGAATAACAGATACAAATTCTTAAACAATGTGATGAGTCATCAGTGGTATGAACAAAATATACTTACATCCACCCTAGGCCTGACTGACGTTGTGTGAGGGCAGAGGGATAGGGACCGTATCTGTTTTACTCACCATTCTATCCCCACTGATTTGTACAGTGTCTGGTACATAATAAGTACGCAATAAATACTTGAACAAAAATAAGAACACTTAAAACCAAATTATTCAGAGATAGGGATTAACAAAATATAAACGAAGGAATACCTAGATATACAGATAAAAAGTATTCGTTACAGACCAGGAAAAGTTATTACAAGTGGCATGACATCAAGACATAGCTTCATAAAAGCCATTTTCAGAGGTATAAAGGAAGAATCCTTTTAGCATCCAGGCAATAAAATCATGTCACCTACAGGGAAAAAGAAATTAGGCTGACTTTTGACACTTTACATTAGAAACTGAAGACAACAGAATACTGTCTACCATCTTAAAGGGACTGATATGCTGTGAACAAAGAATTCTATATATAGCAAAGGAAATACATTAATTAGATTTTATCCTGAAAAATCTATTTGAAGGGCACCTGAGTGGCTCAGCCGGTTAAATGTCTGCCTTCGCCTCAGGTCATGATCCCAGTGTCCTGGAATCGAGCCCTGCTCAGCGAGGAGCCTCCTTCTCTCTCTCTCTCTCTCTCCCCACTCTCCCCGCTCATGCTCGCTCTCTTTCTCTCTCTCATTCTGCACTCTCTCAAATAAATAAGATCTTTTTAAAAAATCTTATTTGAAATATAAGCCTGAGATATGACTCAAAGAACTAATGAGAAAGGCTACTGGGAAAAGAATGGCATTGAGCACTAAATCCATTACAACACATAATTAAACCTAAATAACTATAGTAATTATGGTTACAAAATATAAATGTTACAACCATTGGGAAACAAAGTATGTATTGGTAAATTCTTTTTTGTTATTTTTAAGAACCTTCTAAAAATGTTCTTTTTCTTTTGAATAGGCAATGTTTTCATGATCCAAAAATCCAACAGCAGAAAAAAGTAAAACGAGTGAGAAGTCTTATTCCCACTTCTGTCAACAGGTCTGTCAATACTTTCATTAATTTCATGTGTATGCTTCCAGTCTTTTTGTACACACAGGCAAATATTGATATATTCTTATTTTTCTTGTTTTAAAAAGAGAGCGTAAGTTTGCTAAGAGAGTAGATCTTTAAAGTTATTACAAGAAAAAAATGAAGATATCACACAAGAAAAAAAATTTAACTGTGTGGTGATTAACAAGACTTCCTGTGGTGATCATTTTGCAATATAAACACATATACTGAATCATTATGCTGTATACCTCAAACTAAGATGTTGTATGTCAATTATATCTCAATTTTAAGATAAAAATAAGCGGTTCCTTGGTTAAAAAAAAATAGGTAGCGTGTTAGGCACACTGTACTATACTCTGTTTTACACACTTAATGAATATATCATGAAGATACATATCACAGTACATTAAAACCAACAAGAGGGCGTAGAGTTGGTTAGAAAAAGTCCATTTCCTGATTATTTCACAGTGGGAGTCAACAACAGGTAGGGGAAATATGGTTTAGGAATACTTAAACATGTAATTCACCTGCAGAACTAAAAATATATTAAACATCTTTCAAATTACTGTGGCGGAGCAACCCACAGTAAAAAGATACAAAACAAAGAAAAGCAAATAGCAAGAAAACACAAATAAGATTTAAGATAAGACCAAACAGCTCTATAATTTTTTTGGCACATAGAGCTTTTTTCATGACAGGTCAATCAACACCCAGCTAAGGTACCCTGCAGATAGTACCAGCAAAAACTCAAGAGAATTTATTGGCTCTATAGTTAGTTGACAAGGATATGGGCGGAAATCAGAGAATCAAAGAACTGTAGGAACCAGGATGTCAGAGTGAGGGCAGATCTTAGAGCTTCCAGTTCTCAAAAGGCAAAAGGTTCTGAATACCACTTCTTTGTCCCAATCAATGCATGTTACAGCTCTAAATATTTTCATTAATGATTAGATATATTAATCACTCAAATGAAGATAAAAAAGCAGTAAGCAAACCTAAGAAAAATATTTTAAAAAGCTTTTAA